TCCAAATTTTTTCTTTGTTTTATCGAAGCTTTGAGACAGGTCACTCGTATTACTTTTATTTTCTTTCGGGATTACTCAAAGATTTTTTTTTTTAGGATTTTCTTTTACTTGAGTCTTTTTAGTTGATTTTCTTAAAATTTTCTATCATGAGTCGTTGTTACACTCTTCTTTGGATTTCCTGACTAACGTTTTCTTCCAGACTTCGCTTTTGAGATGCATTTAGGCTTGCTATACTTAAGAAACAGTGGATCTCATGGGCATACATGTTTGTTTTACATTTTACAGTGTTTTATTTTCCTGTTTCTACTTGCTACTGTTCTTCCTGTACAACATGTTATATCATTTCTGTTCCTACCTGCTACTGTACTGTATAGCATGTTATATTATTCATGTTTCTACTTGCTACTGTTTTTCCTGTATAGCATGTTCCTATTTTTACCTGTTACTGTTCCACATGCATTCTACTGTTTGTTCATGCATTACACATTTTATATTATATAGCTTTAAGCATGTTTTCTTTTTATATAGAATGTTTAGAGGACTACAACCATATGGCCGTTTGATTTGACACCATAATTGGACACCCTAGAAAACTTAAACTCGTCACGACAAGGAGCTTGAAGCAGCATGGTGGGCAGCACGACCATCTTCAACAACAGAACATGTCTTCCCCAGCAAAACCATTCTTTTTTTAGAAATTAAAACAACAAGTCATATGATTTCGAGGTTGTCTACTTAGCGCGACATAAATCCTCATTTTATCTTTTAGGCCTTTGCACAGTCAGACTGTGCAATTTAAGCCCTAACTTGATCTAGGTTCCGAGCTTGTCGTTCGATTACGTAAACCCTCATATCTTCCAGGCGACTTGTGTGACCGTGTCACGCAAATATAATTCACGCAAGTATAAGCCCTAATTAAATAAAATTGACATGATGAAACATTTGAATAATTTCTTCTTAAAACTGAAGCTAAACCATAGGATAGACTGTGAAGTCACTGAGGTTCTCCTCAGGATCTATAGTCTCCCCTAGTTTATCTCCATTTGGATTCCTCAATAATGTTCCCGATTTGAGTTTTTCCCCTTTCACACATCTTTGTTCGATTTCGTTGTAAAGTCTTATCATTTTGACCTCTTTGAAGATAGTATTCCCTGATTTTTATCGAGAGTTTTCTTAAGTGACTTCGGTCATTTAAGATGTAATTAACTATAGGGGCTTGCCCT